AACAAAATTAACAGAATGCCTGAAAATATATAAATGTACTTTTTGGAAAACAAGTTTTCTTGACAGAGAGATTGATTGGAGAGATGTAAGATATGAAAGGATGAGAACCACTGGTCCTCTTAGGGCAGAGGATACAATCCAGATGTTGCTGGATTGTATCTTCCATTACCTCTAGCTAACAGATCCAGTGGTGAGGAATCATGGCAGCTACAGTCAAATAGCAACAGTAGGAATGTACGTTGTTAACCCTTACCTTGGTGCAATAAAACTACTATAATGACTTTAACAGTAAGTCATTTCTCCCATCTTCCTCCTGGGCCAAAAAAGTTAGCTAGAGGGTGTTTTTATCACCCACAGCAGCTCTCCACTACACAGCACCCTTCAGACTGTAGGGCTACAAACCCCACATCCCCAGCCAGCATGGACCATGTTACACCTTAATACATGTGGAGGCACTGGGTGGGGAAAAACTGACTTATGGAATTTACATCATGCTCCCTTTCAATTTCTACACAAGCAAATGCAATGGGAGGATTGGAAATGGATACTATCACATTTGGGAGTCCCTATAGCTCACGGATGAAAGTAAAGCAAGGTAATTGCCAGCAGAGAAATGACTGACTCTGTAAATAAAAAGGGTAAAAACTTGTGTAAATAAGGTCTGTTGGCGAATAGTTACCACCATAGACAGCAAAGTTACAGACAGTTCATTAATTTCAAAGACTTGATATTCAGTGAAAATGCTGCTGTTTCTGAAAACATTTTATGTTTAGATTCAGGGATATCTGAAAAAAATTCAGTACCTGTTTTTTCCCCATAATATTTAACTGCCCTTGGTATTACAGTATTTTTATATGCTGCCTCTGTCTGCTAAAGGAAGACTGAAATGGTTTAAAGCAATTAGGAGTCCTACAGCATGTAGTATTTACAGCATAAGCTTTCATGTACCAGTACATTTCATGTGATACATGAATTTTAGAGGTACTTGACTGGCTGGTGTGTGTATATATATATTGTCTCTCTTACTAGAACACTGGTGCAGGAAGGGTTTCCCAGAGGCCTTAGGAAACCACAGTCTTTCCCTTCTATTGGTGGCCCACCTGGGGGGATCCTTGAAGCCTCCCATTTCTGTGGCTACCCTGCCAGCAGTTCTTTCCTTATGGTTAGGACAAGGGAGTGAGAGAAGGAAGGAGGCGGTATTCTATGTAGTGGGGTGTGCACAGCAGAAGAGACTCTGGATCCTGTAGTCAGGTCAGGAGCTGGCAGTGTTATTTTCCCTTCCACTGAAACCAATGGAAGCATACAAAACTATGCAAAAAGAGAAGAAGATGAGGACAAAAAGTCCTTCCTTTCTTGTCAGAGTGAGTTTGACGCGGCTTACGAGAAAGTGGTGATTTGTCTTCCACAGATTCTCTCAGCATGATTACATTGTTGTTTAAGTCATGAAGAAAGCATCTACAAACAAGGACTCATCAAGAATTGGACTGAAAAATAGTCCCTTTCATTATCCCATCAGGGCAGATTTCAGCAGAATGAGGAATGGAACTAAAAAAGATCCATAGCATCTTCATCAATAATTCTCCATGTCTGCAATTACTTAACTAATAGTGAAACAGCACAGATAGTACCATTGCAGAAAGACCCCAGAATTCTTAGGAAAGCTGAGTTTGAATATTCTTGCTTAAAGTTTAGAAACAGATGATAATCTAGCTTGCACCTATACTTAATGACAAACAAAATCTGTTTCTTCCATACCACTTGTTCTGCAGAATATGCCTTCCATACCACCTGTTCTGCAGAATCCTAAAGACTGCACACTTTATGGTTAATCTAAATAGTTATTGCCAATGAGAATAAAAACCAAGTTTCTATCAACATCTAAGAAAAATGAGTGAGTAGCATCTCTTGAGCATATGGCATTTCTACAAGAATCTCATTTCTCCTTCCCCTTCTTCTTTTCCTTCACTCTGAAAGACTCTGGAGGCCACCTTCTTTGTAACTTTTTAGTGATGTGAAAATGCCATCACCCAACCCAGACATCCATTTCTACAGAAGAACTGTAAAAGTGCTTTGATTTTTGCCCCCTCTTCTAGGCACTGACATAAATGGACACCTGAATGCCCAGCATTTTTGGTGTGATTCAGCAACACTCCTGAAAACATGCTTGCAAGGTTAAAGAAATTGAACTGAAATAAAGTTTGTCCTTTGATTTCCAGGCTTGGAAGAACACAACCTTGTCATACAGGTAAGTCTGTTCTGGCCCTCATTCAGCAACAACGCACTGCCTTCTTGGAGGAAGTGCATTTTCATTTTCATCAGCAGACATCACATCAGCTCCATTCAATCTGGATGACCCTCATCAGATGTATCTATGTCAGGGAGAGGAATCTGCCACCATTGGGGTGCTGCTGGATTGAAACTCCCATACATTTTAGTCAACATACCTAATAGTGAGGGATGATAGTAGCTTTATTAGAGGGTGGTGCACATACTAGAACATTGTAACAGTTTTACAGTATGTTTATGCTGAATTTGCAAGTGGATACCTTTTGGTAATGTATGTACGTGCAATTGAAGATGGAAATGTTAACAAGTTTTTGCCATTTTACAAATATTTATAATTTCTCTTTTTTTCCTTTTTCGGGGGAGTTGGGAGTGAAAAGGGTCTTAAAGGAGATGGCTGCCTTGTCTGGTTCTTAATTTCCAACACCTAGATACTACTCAATGCAGTGCTATTATCTGTTTGTTTTTTCCATATGAAATTCATCATCACCTCAAATTCTTGGATTCTCTAACTCTAGAAAATGTCCCTTTAAAGCAGAACAGGAAAATGCTGGCCATTCAGAGCAAGTGGCATTATAAGGCTTGAAGCCCAGTCCTAAGCATTTCCACTTAGAAGCTAGTGCAGTTAGGACATCAGGCTTAAAGTGTTTTCCAAAAGGATCTCCTTAGCCCAAAACTGTTCCTTAGGCTGCAATCTAAAGCCTGTTTCCTAAGAAGTCCCCTTGGGACTTAATGTTTGAATACATCCACTTGGAAAACACTTCATACTGAGCAAACAGGTAAGATGGCATTATCTGTAAAAGGTGCATCTTATCTTCATAATTTGACCAACCTTTCCTTGGAGGAGAATTTAATACCCACTCATTCCAATCCTGATAGCATTTCTGTTTATTTCAATGGAACCTCCCATCGGTGAAGTGCGTCATGCATTCCAGATATTCTGGACTTCCAACATTCACAGCTTCTGACCCCAGCCCAAGATGACTTGAGTTTATGAGAACTGTAATAAAACATCTTAAGGGGACCACCTTGCCTACCTTACATGATAGGTAGAGCCTTTTTCTTTTTTTAAAATGTTCCTCTCCTGCTAAACTCTGACCCTCACTACCTGGAGTGGAGGAGGAGGAAATGGCAACAGAAACCAGGTACAGTAGAGACATTTCTAATCTGTGGGAAAGATGCATTTTTCTGCCTGTTCCTTCATTTGTGAAATGAATGGACAGTGCGGGACATGGATGAAGTGGCAAGGCTGTATCTTGAGTCTAGTGCGCATGTGTGGGAGAGAGAAACACCCACTTTTGCTTCTGGATCTCTGTCATTCCAATACAGTCTATCTCTGGCTGACGTGCCTTCCATCACGGCAACCACAGTGGGCATAACAGGTCACTGGAGAATCCAGTGCTTAAATCAGGGGTGAAGAATCTTTGTCTGCCCCAAGACAAGAGTGCTTGTAGCGCTATGGGGCGAGGAATCTTTGTCTGCCCCAATATTTTGGACACCAACTCCCACAAACCTTGGCCGGCACAGTTAGTGGTAAGGCTTTCTAGAAACTGTAGTCCAAAAACAGCTGGAGAACCAGATGGAGAATCCCTAGTCCTGGCTTAATTTAAAAACTCATCTTCCCTTTGCCAAATATGAGAGCTGGTGAAACTCTGAAGGTCTCCCTCAGTCACCATATGTAGATAATTCTCAATGAGGGAGTAGCAAAAGGGCTATGGTTGAAAGGGCTAGATTAACCCCACATCATTCCTGGCTTCAGTCTCTTCAAGGCCCAGTGACTCTGCTGAGAGGATAAAAGGAGTGCCGCCCCTCCCCACACACCCTTGCCCACGGCGTGTTTCATACCGTTTCGGCCAGACTTCTCTCTCCAGTGCATTTAAGCCCCTGCTGAGTGCAATTTCCATATTGCTTTCACCGAACCATATGTAATAATAATAATCCCATAATTGCAGAGCTGGAGGAGACCTTATGGATCATGGAGTCCAGCCCCTGTCAAGGAGGCACCCTGGGGAATCGAACTCCGGAACCACCGAGCTATCCAGCAGTTTTCTCTCCCCAGAATTAGCGAAGCCCCGAGGTACCAGGAACTCGCCCGCCACGCACAACCGCGCAGCCGCCCTTTTCCCAATGTCACCCCCAAAGTCTCCGGTCCTGTCTATTTTCCGAAGCTGATTTCCCGCCCCGCCACTTCTCAAGGTTTTAAGCTGAACCCGTCACGCGCGAGGGGGGCACGAGAGCCCAAACCCGTTGGTTTTCCTTTTAAAAATCTGCACATGCTCGAGAACTCAGGGCGAGAGCGCAGAGACCGCGAACAGGCGGATCGTCTCTCTTTTCCTTACCGAAAGACCCAGCCCGCCCGCCAGCCCTCGATGTAGCTAGTAACTTGGAACCATACAGTACTTTGCAAAATAACCACACCAGACATTTACACTTCGCTTTGAGAGTGTCCTTATGCCCTGGATATGGGGTTTAAATTTTTTTTAAAAAAATCCCCCAACCTGCAGAAAAGCGGCTCCCACACGAGTCGAACCCGGCTCCCCTCACCTCGGCACGTCTGTGAAGAAGTCGGCATCCTTGATTGGAATGGGACGCGTATCCTGGGAAAGAGCGCCCACACTGGCGCCCTGAAAGCAGGAGAGACAGGACGCCCTCCCTCGCGCCTTCCCTCCGTGGGTCCCTCCAGGGAGGGCTCCCCCTTTCCCCGGTGGGTGACTCACCTCGAGGGGTCCGCTTTTGGCCTCAGCGCTCCACGGCGTGACCGAACCCAGGCTGGGGCGCGTCGCCTCGCCACAGCCGCCTTCCCCTGCCCGCCCTTGCCTTCCTTCGCATCCCACTTGCCGCCGCCGGCAGCCTCCGGCTCTAGCCCGCTCCGTGCCGCCCGGCTCTAGGCAGCTGGGGCTCGCCCTCAGGACGCGGAGCCGCCCCCTCCGCC